AAATTTCTAGCAAAAACGCAAAATCAAATTTTTATTCAACAGTGTCCTTTATTCTATATTATAGTGTATTTATGTCCTTAAGATGTTTGTTTTTTATCTACATATCATAAAAATGATATGTTTTGGTTCCAATTTGCCTAGTAATTTCATAGAACCAGACTTTTGCACAAGTTTACAGACGAAGATGGCGGTTGCCAAGAAATGAAAAAAGCTTAATTTGCCGTGTAGGCCAGGCCAACAAAAAAAAACTATGTAAAAATCGTCGTTTAAAGTTATTTTAGGTACTTTTGTGATTTTCTATCTTAAATAGTTTTCAAGTAAAATAACTGTAAAATTTGCTAAAACCTGACATTTAATTTCTGTTCTTCAAATTTAAGCTTGATCAACACCTACCGATTATACCGGGAAATTAAGCCAAAAACTATCGTTTTAATTTCAGTGTTCTATTTTTACTTGAAACAGCCATAATTTTTATCAGGTGGCAACAAAATATGGGCTTTTTACAGAATATATGCTATGCATTATTACTGTTAAGTTTAATAACATTTGATTATGCAGTTTCAAAGGGAAATATTTTAGACTGACACTATACAAAATGAGGACAATGACGAACGCCCAGTGTTTGTATAACCTCATAAAGCTCTTCAGAGCCAGCCGAGTTTAAAGGAAAGATCTTTGAAACATGATCAGGAAAAATGTTTTACATTTTGCCCTCAGCATTACAAAAATTGATGGTTGCTATGCATTTTCCACGATATGAGAGAAATGACTACTGTGGCGATATTGACCAATTACCCCTTGTCGTTAACCTATATATATGCCTGGGAAAACAGCCTTAGTACTTATGTCGATAATTTAAGTTTCATGAACACACAAAAAATATCTATTATGTTTTAAGTCAGAACAAGAGACAACGTTGCTGCTGATAAACTGAAATACACATGAGTAAAATCATGTTAGTAACTTATTTCTGTTCTTAAAATGAATTTGATATTCAAATTGAAAGAAAGAATGACATTTGAGTTTCAAATTTTGTGAATTTTGTCCCAAGGGATCAAAACATTGATGATTGCTAGGCATTTTCCAACTATATGAGAATGGCTACTTAAGTCTTTGGTAACGATATTGACCCCTCACCTTCCAATAAGGATCTATACAACAGTTCATATTAGTCTGAACTCAACTTTGTGTGGTTGTTTGGTACTTTTATATCAAGTAGGGTCGTTGCTAAGAACTTTTGACATGACCTTGACCTCTGGCGTTTAAACTTGTTACCAAGTAAAAGCAATTGTCGTTCTGATCATTTTTTGTATTCAAGGTATGGGTATATTTGTAACCATTTCTGACAAAATCTAATAAAAAAGACTGAAGGTCAAAGGTCAAGGTCATCAATGACTTTTTACCTTTAGATCAAACTTAAGGTTATTAAATGCGCAACATTCTTCAATTGATTTTCATCCTTTATTGGTCATAGATTATGAGATATTTTAATAACAAGGTCAAAATTATTCTACAAAATAACAAAAATTTCACGTTTAGATTCCCTTAGCAACCACCCTAGCAACCTGAATAGTATACCTTAATTTATAAATTATTACTTGGCAACAGTGTTAGTTTACATTTATAACTTCAATGTACATGGGTGTGGATGCAAAAGTGTGTAATTAGTTCATGCAAAATGCCTACAATTTGCCTTCTTGAATACAATGAAAACTGCCTTATTTTAATCAATGTTGCCACCTTCTCTCTTTTTTATTAGAATTATTTTTATCTTTTATCAAACTAATTAAGTGTTATATTTTAATGAACAAATGTTACAATATTCATCAAAATTGAAATGTGTGCATGATAACTACCTGAAAATCGTAATTTTTCTACCTCAAAAAGTGCAATTTTGAGTCAAAATCCCAGGGGGCCCATAACCATGGCAGCGGGAACATATACAATTTTCTTGTCAATATATTTCTTGTATGCTAGTCGATAGTAACCATCAAACAAAATTTAAAAAAAAATAAGACTATCCGTGCTGCAACTTGGTTGGTGGTTACTAAAAAGTAGAGGCTAGAGGTGTTTTATATTGTAAATAATACCACAATAATGCTGTATATTTTTAGTATTTCAGTTTCAATCTATAATGTATTGTTATATTATATATAAATATATATATAAACATGTTGTTTAGTTATTATTATCTCTCATAAATTTCATTTTGTACAGATTGGCTTATTAAAAATGTATCTTTTAGGATTGTATTGTATATTTGATTGCATAAGCTGAATTGAATGGTGTTATACAAAGAATCTATTATTTAGTCACCATGTTTATAATTACTAAACATCCAGTAGAAATATAACAATTAGTGCATAGAATGGTTGCTTTAGAGTAGCCTCCAGGGGTAAACAACAACATGTTTAACTCAAATTTAAATTATATCTTAATCTGCTTAGACTACTTATTATTGTTTTAATTGGATTTTTAAATGAGCGGTAAGACCGAAAGAATAGATGTTTATCTAGCGGTATAATATGTTTATTTATATTTAAATGAAATACAAACGGATCAAACGGTCATTTCGGACACATCTGCAAGGTAAGCTCGCACCAAATCTAAGGTTATATCATGAATTACACTGACGATTTCTGTTAAACCAATGAACATACTAGTACTGATCTGTGAACGGTTAGAACTGAAACTCTCACTGGGACAACCAAGGCAAGTGTCCATTGGTACGAATTTTGCCATGTTTAATGAATATGATGTTAACTGTTATGTTATTCTCTTGTATTTTCCGCTTTATAAAATACCATAAAGTTAAATATTATTCTTCACGTTAGGTAAACCACAGGTCAGAACAAGAACACATAAAGTGGAAATAGGTTGAAAAATTGAAGAGTAATTACTAAAAAAAATCACGAAAAAAAAGAAAAGCAAAAAAAGAAAAGCAAAAAAAAGGGGGGGGGGGGGGCAATGCCAACAAATAACAATTGATCAACCAAGATTTCCTATTTCTACTGGACAAGCCTTAGAGTGTTTATTTGCTTGACGTTCATGTAAGCATTTTGTCTTCTGACAGCGAAAGCTTGTAAGCTGTTCACAAAAGACGGCCGTGAGCTTTTACATCTTTAATAAATTGGTAAGTATGTAAACTTTTTAGCAGATTTCATAAGTCTAAATTTAAGACTAAATTGCGAAGGCAGGGCTACGGTATATATGGTCCGGATTGTAGTATGATAAAGTTTGAATACTACTGAAAAAAAGAGCAACTTATGTATGAGGGTATGGATGGGTGAGGGTCCTTCCGTGATTTCTGTATTCTTTAATTTTTTCGCTCTTTATTCTTCATCTTTAAAAACAATGGCGATTCTGTAATTACTTGATAACTGTATTCTGGACATTATTCTTTTCTGTAATGAGTATATTTTTACCCAATTCTTTAATTTTTGCAGTTATTCTTTATATTTTAGCCCTCCATTATTCTCTATTCTTTATTTTTCCCCCCATTTTTCTCTATTCTTAATTTTTTGGCCCATTATTCTCTATTTTGTAAACCCTATCCACACCCTCATGTATTGATAGATGAAACGTTTCTCTGCAATTTCATTATTCCAAAAAATTCAGTCGGTGAGTGCTTGGATGTTTCGAGTTACTATACCAACCTTGTGAGTTAAGGACATTCTCAGCCAGGACATTAGCTAATGTATTAGTCATAACTTATGAGACAATAAATCAGGACGACTGGAATATCTCGGTTTATTTTTGGGTCCTTCGTCAAAATGTCAAGTAATCTCTTGGCTCGAAATCGATCAAACAGCAGTGTAACGTAAAACATATAATTAGGGACACATGCAAGATATGTATTACAAAATGTATATGTGTCTCTGATATAATCTATAGCCGGTTAGGTACAGTTTTGCAGTGCAAATCATTGCCTGCAATTGTTTTTTTTTTTCATCAAAAGATTATGTTTCTCCTCTTTAAACTTGTATTGAAACATTAAAAGCTAGTGAACGTTAGCATTTCTGAGAAGAACATGCCAGAATAGAAATGTGCAAAAAATTATATAAAAGGGGGGCGGCGGAATTAAGGCACAATTACCTATCCATTTAAACTAATCGTGTAATGGATGTTGTTTAAAGGCAACATACATGTATTTTTATTTTAACTGTTACATTTATAAAAAAAGGTTATTGAAAGATTAATATGAAATTAAAGCAAGGTATATTATTTTCAATCAAGGATTTGTATAGTCTTATCCCTTGGTTCAATAAATTCAGACTTTCACTTCAGGGAAATGTATCTAAAGAAATTTAGTTATACACTTCCTTGATTCACATATGATACAATATAATTATTTTGATTATATCAAGGACGTATATTAACATTCCCAGATCAAATTAATTACAAACATAATATCTTTTTTAATAGTACAAAAGGAACTATTAGATGTCCTGTTATGTTTAAATTTTTATTTGACCATGATTTGCTAAATTCCACAGTCGCTTAGGGGAATGGACGCCCCTCCCCCTATTTTTTGGCTTTTTAAAGTTTTTGTTGGTAAATAATCTGTAATGTTTTAACTTATTTCACTTATTAAAATCGTTCTTGCTCTTTTCCACACACATTTTTTAAGGGGGGTCCATTCCCCAAGAGTCTGTATAAAATTTCTTGGAATGCCTTAAAGGTGTCACGGAATAGAAGTTCCTTCATAATATAAGTTCCAAATGGAAACAATATTCTGGAATATTATTTCCACTGGAATAAATATTATAGTAAATGTTCCTAACGGAATACTGAATGATATAGAATATTTGTTCCAACAGGAACAGACATAATGACATTGTTTATAACCAAGTTTCCATTGGAACTTCTGTTAGGCGGAACAAATATACGTTGACAAAGGGACCTTAAAGTACACGGGACGATCTTCGGCAGATTTTTAACTTGAACTTGAACATTATAAGTAAAATGTAATGTGACATAAAATTTGCATTTAATTGCTGAGATCCTGTTCAAGTACAAAGCGTGGCATTGTGGGTGGTGATGTGAGTAATAAAATGTAACTATCCCAACAACATCACAGATATTGAACTTTGACAGGAAGTGTTTGGGATGTAAATATTTCCAGGTAAATTTGTTTCTTTGATTGATGTTCTGTTTTCAAGGCGAGAAAAGTTATCCATTTATAAGTTAAACAGTAGCAATAACTAGAGAGTATTGTAAAGTATTGACGAGTGTCCGAGAAGAAAGAGAATAAGCTTTTAACAGGTAAAATTTATTTGTTTTATCCTTTAAACAAACTTTTAAAAACCATTGAATTGCATAAAATGTTAGACTGTTAGACACAAGTAGAGCATAGGAATATTAATCTACCAATGATAATTTCGGTTGACTATGTAGAAAAAGAATATTTTGGGTGCTGTTTGTAAAAGAATAATATATGTGCCACATGCATGCAATGGAAAATTCAATTAAGACATTTTGAGAAGTAGTAGCTAAAGAGACTCAAGAGTAAACAATATTTTTCATCTATTTCAATTATATTATTATACAGACAGACTAGACATGTAGAATGAGAGCGAAGGTGATCGAAAAATGATATATATGTGTAGTATCACAAATAATATGTTTAGGATCTCCAATTTTCCATGTTTGTTATAAGATACAATTTCAATGGTAATCATTGTCATGAATGAAAATTGTTAAAAAAAATAGTTAAAAATTAAAAAGTTTGCCTTTGAATATTGACTTGATTTAATAATTTCATTATGAAATAAACTACATTTTGTAATAAATTTTCAAAATGAAGAAAAAAAAATATATAATTCCATTTGAATTCATGCATGTCTTTTAATAGATAAGTGTAATGCTTGGGGATTTGTTTCATAAGCACTATTTTCAAGTTCTCTGTAGTTTGTCATTGCACACATATATTATCTAACCAGATTATGGAAACAATGATTATTTCGTAACTAACCAGGAAATTTATAAAGTTTATATAACGGTATCTTTATTCCTGGTTTCAGCAATTGTGAAATGGGTCAAGGAGACACTCAAAGCTGCTAGTGACTAGTACATTAAGCTTAAGTAAGTAAACTTCCGAAATAAAAATAAAAAAAATGGAAATTAAAGTTAGACTACCCAATCTATTATATGTAATTACAAGTATTACACTTCATATTTTTTTTTAATAATTTTTCATAAATGGGCCAACAATTTGTTCCCCCATTAAAAGAATAAAAGCAATGTGTATTTTATTTTTTAAGTTTTTGTGTAACAAGAAATGCAAGAAATATTTCTATTGAGGTTGTTTATGTACTAAACTGTGTTTTTAGATAACACCAACTATCCAGAAAAGTGCTCTTGCTTTTAACAGGCACTCATCTTTGAAAGTTATATTAAATGTATTTTTCAGAGTCAAGTGCTTGTGACCACCTTGCAAAATCTAAATGCTTAAAGAAATGAAATCTTGTATGACACTGACAAAGTTCAAGCATAATCTCTTTAATAACCACATGATCTTTCTCACTTCCAAAATTACTCCAGCTAAAATAAAATAATTTCATCTGGCATTTGAAAGCCATTTTTCCAAAAAGTCTTATGCAGTCCTATTTTGATGATATGTTTCTGTGTCCTTTTGTTTTTGATTTGTCAAACAATTTTGGCAGAAAATGCCTTGTAAGATCAGCTTTTACAATCTGTTTTGATTCCACACACCACAGAAATAGTAATTGCCCTCCTGTGGCATATATTATCCCTATCTGCTTTGCTATATGTATCAATAAAAATAATCATGAGTGGAAGAACAAAAAATATTGACATAATAATTTTAAGAAATACTTTTGCAAAATTTAAGAACTACCAGTAGGTTACCAATGTTGATAAATTATACCTCCAAGATCCCACCAAGTTAATAATTTATATACATATGCTTGGTGATGGATACAGAACCAAAGATGTCTTTTCAGAGGCGTATTTAGGGTTGGGGGTGTGGGAGCCTGGGCCCCCTTATGGAGCTACATTCATGGTTAATCCAGACTTTTAACCTGTTCCACTCCCAACTTTGTATAGTTTGGGGGCCTGCAATCCCCCCTTTTTTCAAAATCCTGGATCTGCATCTGCTTTTAATAATAAGGTTATTGTTTTCAAGATTTTATGTTAATCCAAAAACATTGCATTTTAATGAAAATAAGAGTTTTTGCAACCTACATAGTCAGTGGCCTACAACTGTTGTATATATACCAACCATAGCAGATTTTAAATAATAATGGCTTACTTTTTAAATGTATTGAATAATACTATTCACATTTTTTCTTATGACATGATACAGTATGTCATAAAGGGAAATTATTATGATTGTGTAATGATTAGTTAAAACAATATTTAATTGAAAATATTTTGAATTGGATTGGGCAACAGGCTATGCTTTATGTAAGCCCAGGGAGCTGTTCATTGTTTATTTGTTGTGTATTGATTTAAGAGCAAATGCTGACAGTCATTCATTAAAAATTAAAGAAGAATCTCAATTAAGGACTTTTATAGTACTACAAAATCCTTGGTTATATGTGTGTCAGTGAAAAGGTTAGGTGAGAAATGATTGAATCGGTCTAAATAGATAAATTTGTTTTTATGTTGGACAAAATCCTTCACATGCAAATACAAAGAAAGGTGGGAATCATGTCAATGAGAAAGCAACCTAACAAAAACAACCAAAAGACATCCATAGGGCAACATAATAGTCTTCAACAATAGACAATAAGTCAAGCTCTAAATCGTCCTGAGCTAGTGAAAGTTATGAATGAATTTAACTGTCAAAGATCTGGAATCAATACAATTTCTCCAAATAACTATGTGAGTATGAGGTTCCTTAAATGCGTCATTCACTGTACATATTCATATTTTTTGGAGTGATCTCATTATGTATAAATGTAATACAAGATAGATTTACACCAGTCACTGTTCCTAATATATAGAGTAAAATAAAACAGCTGAGGGTCACAACATTGGTATTCAATGATTACTGAGTGTAAACTTGCATCATATGGATATCCCATAAGGTCAGGAATATCAGATAAGAAGAAAAATCAAATAGTAATCAATATCAATATTAATTATATATTATTATTCATACCAGGTTTAAACCACTATTTTCTTTGGATAATGCCTGTACCAAGTCAGGAATATGACAGTTGGTTTTTCACTCTTTCTGTTGGTTGATAACATTTGATCTTGTCAGTTTTTATGCACTTCCCCCTTTTTGAATTAACCTTGGAGGTCAGTATTTTTGTTATACTTTTTTTGAAGTTCAAAGCAAAAGGTAAATTTTGTCTCAATCTTGACCTTTGGCAAGAACAATCAAATAGGGTATCATGATTGTGTTATGTAAATATTTGAAAAAAAAATTCAGTTCTAAAAAGAATTCTTGTTGGGATTAGGAAAAAAGATTGGAAAAACTTCAAACCAGGAATACACACAATTTGAATACAAGTACTTACAAAAAAGAAGTATATATAGACTTATAGAGTAAAACAGAATGACTTATAGGGGTCACAACATCAGTATACAATAAACTAGCATTATATGGAGATCAAATAAGGTCAGGAATATCAGATAAGATGGAAAATCTATTTGATAGATAATACCAAAATAAAATTGAATTAAAAGTACAAAGCACATGTTACAATGTTGATTTTGTTTCATTTTTGACATTGGGCAAGCGCATTTAAATATGATGGGTTAACGATGTAAGTTACATTGATATATAAAGAATTTGAAATATTTTTTGTAATTACCAGTACATGTAGTGTTCTATTAATGTAAATTCAGAAATTATTGCGTGCATTTATTATTGCGATTTTTAAAGAATGGACTAAAATGCGAGATTTATTATTGCGATTTCAGGAAAATCTGCATACAGATTTTTGTATCAGATATCAGAATGTGAGTTCTTATTATTGCGATGATCACCAAGTCGCATTATTCGCATTAATAAAAACCTCGCAATAATTTCTGAATTTACAGTAGTTAGTGTTATTGAGCTCCTTACAACTCTGACTTATAACAGTAGTAAAAGAAAAAGCGTTTATGATAATGATATCCTTATTGTCAGAATTTTTCTGTTTAAATAGGTTTGTTTGTAATTTACCAAGAAATATAGGTAAAAAAGAGTACCTGTGTTCTGTCACGTCTGTTGAAATTACATGAAATATTTTTATATTTGTTTCCTGATTAGAATATGTAAATATTTGCAGGAAAAAAAAACAGTTCTAAGAAAAAAATACTTGTAGGGAATAGAAAAATGTTTGGAAATCCTTACAATTTTTTTCTATACTCCCATCATTCATATAAAACAACACTTACAAAAAAGCAGTATATTGACTTATTGTTATGGAAGTGATTTGGCTATTTCCTTCTCCACTTGTAAAAACAGTTTTACACAAGTAGATAACTCCTTACATGCCGCAAACCAAGTGAAACTTGTAATTTATTTTTCATCTATAAGTGAGACAACTGAATTCTTAAGTTGTTAAAATAAGAATTTTATTTATTCAATATCATTTCTATATTTGGTTGCATTTAACCAAAACTTCCAGGAATAAGTTTGATAAGAAAGCTTATCATAGTTTAGTGAACTGAGAGTACAGACTTAATCATATAGCAACTTATTCTTTAAGGTAGGTAGTTAATAAAATGTATAGACGATCACACTACTCTCTAGATGTATACCACTGAAAAGAAAAACTTAATTCTTTTATTTTCTTAATTTTTAATCAATCAAGTGTATGTGTGTTTTAGTTAACTTGTTTCTTTTTGTTCATTGTGGTCTTGTTAACATTTACTCCACATCCCATATTGATATTAATGCTGCTATTTAGTTTTTAGTTTAACTGGCCAACAGGGCAATGTGAGCTATTGTTATCACTATGTGTCTGTCAAATATGTCTGTCATTAGACAATTTCAGCATCTCATCTGAAACAACAAAGCCAATTTGAACCAAACTTGACAGAAATAAGATATGGAAGGTCTTTATAAAAAAAGATCATTTTGTTATGATCAGATGAAAAACATGGTTTTTGTCTCGCCTACAGCGAAAGTCAGTATGTGAGACATAGGGACTACTATCTGGCTAAACTATTTGTATAAAGCTTTAAATTTAAAAAAGGTAGGAGACCTAGATGCTTCATACCTTGTATGCAGATACCTTATGTTATGAAGTTTACTACATCAATCGTATGTCCATTGTCCTTGACCTCATTTTCATGGTTCAGCGACTGCTTGAAAAAAATTATAGTTTTTTGTCATGTGAGTTTCTCACTTATTATGAGTAATAGGATAACTATATTTGGTAAATTGGTTCCTTGCAATGTCTACATGTCAGTCAGACAGGGTTCACCTGACCTCAACCTCATTTCATGGATCAGTGATAAAAGTTAAAGTTACATGATTATGTCCCTTTCTCAGAAACTATAAGCAGTAGGTCAATTATATGTGGTGTATGGAATTATTGTAAGGGGTACATGTCAGTGTGGCAGGTTTCATCTGACCAAAACCTCATTTTTCATGGTTCATTGGTCAAATTGTAATGTTTTTGTGTTTTGGTCTGTTTTTCCAAGTACTATAAGCAATAGGTCATCTGTATTTGGTGTATGGAATGATTGTAATAACATTAACGGTACCAATTTTTCTGCACCAGATGCGCATTTTGACAATTAAAGACTCTTCAGTGATGCTCGAGGCCAAAATATTTGAAAATCCAAAGCTTATTAAAAAGATGGAGAGCTATAATCCAAAAAGGAACAAAAAGTATAGACAAAGCCGGGCAAGGAATCATAAGCATGTAAGGTGTACATATAAAAATAAGAAGATGTGGTATGATTGCCAATGAGACAACTCTCCACCAGATACCAAATGACACAGAAATTAACAACTATAGGTCACTGTATGGCCATGTCTGCCTAGCCGGTACCATCGGACCTTGACCTCATTTTCATGGTTCATTGGTCAATGTTAAGTTTTTTGTGCTTTAGTCTGTTTTTCAATTACCATAAGCAATAGGTCAACTATATTTGGTACATGGAGTAATTGTAAGGGGTACATGTCTGTCTGACAGGATTTATCTGACCTCATTGTCAAGAATCTTTAGAAATGTTAAGTTTATGTGATACTTGTAGTAAAACATTTATCTTTAAGACTTTCAACATAAAATCAATGGTCAGTAAAGCAGGTGAGACATTTCAGTGTGTGCACTCTTGTTTTCATTATGCCTGTCCCTTCATATGAATTGCCAGGAATATGGTATGTTGAATAGTTTGACAGGATGCTGAGTAATTCTTATCATTCTAGCACAATTTGTTTTTATTAGCTCTTCAAAAGAATTTGAACTTTGTTAACCCATTGCAAACAATTGGATACTTCAGATATAATTTATGCTCCTTTTTTACTTTCATTGCATATAAAATACAAATGGGTATGAATGGAAAGAGAAAAAAAGATTTTTTATCTGTAAAAACCTCATCCCCAATTATGTAAAAATGAAAATAAAAATAAAATTGTGTAAACTGTCATTATTTTTTGGCAATCTGAATAAAAAAATAAGTAGAGGTGTTACCATTGCCAATAAAATAACTATCCATAAAGACCAAAAGGACAAAGATGTTAACTTAACCTTGGGGGGAAAAAGCCATACACAAAAATCAACTGGATTTGTTGTAAATGTATGTACTTTTAACACTGACCTGAACAATAGACACTTAACCACAGGTTGTCAATCAATGGTCTTACGTAAGTGATGACATAAGTAATGACAGTAGTAGGAAAACAAAATTAAAAAACAAACAACATGGAAATTAAGAGGATGGATTTTGAACTTTTGTGGTTACAATTAGAAAAAATAAGCAATTATGGTGAAAAATTATCCATTGCTGTCTAATGCAATATAAAAGTAAAGAAATGTGGTATAATAAACCAGATTTTAGTGGTTACATTTAAGAAGCATAATTTGCTTCTTTTTAAACTATTGGTTAAATATAACAGCAATAATTATTTTTTTTTGCAGTATATATGAATATACGTGATTTATAGGAACTATAAGAGAGAAAAGAAGGATAAAATAATAAGGTAAGCCTTATAGTAGGAATTAAAACAAAAACAATTAACTTCTAGTCACAAACATGTTTGCATGAAAATATTTTGTTTGTAAATTTGACTAAAAAGCATAATTGATCAGGTTTTGAAAGAGAAATAAGAAAAGAAATGCATTAATAAAAAATCGTTACTATCAAGAAAAGTAAAAATTTGGTTAATTATTAATTGTGTTGAATTTATTTGAAGTACTAATCAGTAAGTTCATCAGTGACAAAAATACTTTTATTGTTTAAAAAAAGCCTGCAAGCACATTTTGAAATGAGCTTGAATATGTCATGACACACCTAAGTAAAGTTGAACTATATGTATGTATAAATATATATATATTGTACAAGCGTTGTTTGGTTTTAATATACTTAAATCAGAATAGATTGATATGATTCATTTTACATTATAATCATACTGATGAAGGATATCTGTTATCTGAAATATTTATAAATACTTACATTTAATGTTTCCTTTTTTAGCTCACCTGACCTGAAGGGTCAAGTGAGCTTTTCTCATCACTTGGCGTCCGTCGTCCGTCGTCCGTCGTCATCGTCGTCGTCGTCCGTCGTCGTTAGCTTTTTACAAAAATCTTCTCCTCTGAAACCACTGGGCCAAATTTAACCAAACTTGGCCACAATCATCAATAGGGTATCTAGTTTAAAAAATGTGTCCGATGACCCCGCCAACCAACCAAGATGGCCGCCATGGCTAAAAATAGAACATAGGGGTAAAATGTAGATTTTGGCTTATATCTCTGAAACCAAAGCATTTAGAGGAAATCTGACATAGGGTAGGTAAAACTGATTATCAGGTCAAGATCTATCTGCCTTGAAATTTTCAGACAAATCTGACAACCTGTTGTTGGGTTGCTGCCCCTGAATTGGTAATTTTAAGGAAATTTTGCAGTTTTTGGTTATTATCTTGAATATTATTATAGATAGAGATAAACTGTAAACGGCAATAATGTTCAGCAAAGTAAGATCTACAAATAAGTTGTCATGACCAAAATTGTCAGTCGACCCCTTTAGGAGTTATTGCCCTTAATAATCAATTTTTAACAATTTTTCGTAAATTTTTGTAATCTTTTACAAAAATCTTCTTCTCTGTAACTACTGATACAAATTTAACCATACTTGGCCATAATCATTATTAGGGTATTTAGTTTAAAAAATTTGTCCGATGACCCCGCCAACCAACCAAGATGGCCGCCATGGCTAAAAATAGAACATAGGGGTAAAATGCAGTTTTTGGTTTATATCTCTGAAACTAAAGCATTTAGAGCAAATCTGACATAGGGTAAAACTGATTATCAGGTCAAGATCTATCTGCCCTGAAATTTTCAGACAAATCTGACGATCTGTTGGGTTGCTGCCCCTGAGTTAGTAATTTTACAAAAATTTTGCAGTTTTTTGTTATTATCTTAGATATCATTATAATATCTAATATCTAATACTATTAATTATGATTTTAACCTTATTTTACATGATTTCTAAAGCATCAGTAAATACAGGTGAGCGACACAGGCTCTTGAGAGCCTCTAGTTTAAATATTGGTATTGTTAAGACACTTTTTAGACGTTTAAATATATATATATATTTACAAGTCTAAATTGAAAACAACATTCAAACCTATGATTGCGTTGGATAAAAACCGCAATATATATATAGAAGTCTATAAAAAGGACCAACCAGCAAATTTTATATGTACCGGATCGTCAAGAAAAGAATACTGTGCAGATAAGGAAAAAATTATATAAGTTGAAAGATTGCACAAGGGTATTAATAGAAGATGGTAAAATACGAAGATAATGTTATAAAATCCTGTTGACAAATATTTCGGCTTAACAAACAGCCTGTGTCAGTGTCAATAATTTTAACAAGCCGAAATATTTGTCAACACAATTTTATAACATCATCTTCGGATATTACCATCTTCTATTAGTACCGTTGTGCAAATCTTTAGACTTATATATATATCTTCTATCTAAACAAGTGACAACTCTACGACAGATCCATAGTGAAGGTGATACATGGCTGAAAACACATATTGTATTCATAATTATATATATATACAGTCAGTAAAATTGTTATTTTATTCTCTGTTGAATTTAGCAGTAAGATGAGTACACTGCATGGCAAGATACATACAGACTTTTTTATGTAAAAGTTGCCAATGATTTGACAATCCTGATGCTGCTTGACAAAATACATTTTTCATATGTTGATTGGCAACTCATGAACAAATTTGGTCTAACTGATGTAGATTTTGATATTTTTTTTTTTATTATGAAAAAATATTTGATACGACATCTAATTTCCTTAATAACAAATAAAATGTGAGGAAACTTTTAAAATATGAACTTTTTTTGTAAATGTCTACAATTTATAATAAGTAAAGTACAAAATGTTCTGTTGGACTAAAGTATAGACATTCTAGAAGTTATGTATAATTAAAGTCTATGTGAAGATCTCACACTGAAGTTCTCTATCCTACATATATAATAACAACTGCATTGTTGTCAGTTAAGTTTTGTATTTTAATCCTTCATCTATTAAAGAACTATCTGAATGTTACTTTAGTCACGTTGTACTCAGCAGAAGGACCTCTTGTTGATATCCTTTTAATTTGTGTATTTTTACGGGAGGTAATTTAATACATTCCACAAATTACGACTATTATATTTACCTTTACAGACACCTGATTTCACCTGTGTTTACCTATAGGAAGGAATATGGAGCGAACCTTGGGATTTTTTATCCTGTTTTTAGTATCTGTTTCATATGCAGGTATGTAATTATAGACTTTAAAAACTTCTCAAGATCAATCACATGTTTTAACAATCTTTTCTACTTTCATTTTATATAATCTTACACAAGTTTTTTTTTTGTAATTAGAGGTCATTTTTCAACAGAAAGTCCTGAACTATCTCTTAACAGTATCTTGTCATCTGAAAAATGTATGACACAAACTCAAATACATTTTTCTTTTGGCAGATATTTTTGGTTATTGTATATGTATAATAAAATAATAGACATCAGCTAAGAAAACGGTTTAAATCTGAAATCTAATATAAATATTGAATGCTTTAAGCAGGTAAAGTTAACCATTTAATCAAATAGATCAACTGATTTTGACATTGTATAATTTTAGATTGTATAAGTATGCCAAATAGATGAAACAAATGATTACATAACCATAAATAATCTATAAAATTTTGACTAAGGGTACATTTTTTTAAACTTAAAATGCAAAGGTAATGAATGATTGGTTGTTGGAATACAATATAGATTTGTTCTGAATTTTTGTGATCTTGATTTCAAATGAATGTATGCAATAGTATTCATTGGTCCAGAAATCATTGAATTACTGATCTCAGTGAATCACAGACAACTACTACATAGAATCTTAGAAGTAGGCATTAAGTGATTGTATATTTCTATTAAATCTGAGCTTTCTCTGACATCTAATAACCCTAGCAAGTCCCAAAAGGGCTGTCAGACGTCACAGCAATCTCGGACTAAGGTCTATGGTTGTAAGGACTATTCTAAAGCATTGCAGGGTAGTTAAAATATCTCACAAATAGAAAAGCATTTTAGTTCTTAGTATATCTGATAAGTTCTTTGATGTACGAATTTCAACTGCTAAAAGTTTGTTTTTCAATTTTGAAAAATGGCCCTTAGCTGTATGTTTAAACTTTTTTTTCAAGTTTTCTTAAAACTGAACATGATGATACAAGCAAAATGTGTGCAAGTTATTATGTCATTTTAATGGAAATTTAAAGATCTAATGTAATTTTTTTGAAAGATGATTGATAGTTTAAAAAAAAAAGCTATGTGTGCATAAATTAGGATCAAATTTACTGAATTATGTAAAATGCAAGCTTTTCAATTTAACTTTCTAGGTTACCAATGTACATTGTTGGTATATCAGATTTCTTTTTTAAGATTTTAAAAAGATAAATGTCTGTCATTCATGTTATGTATACATAATTGATGACATTATGTGGCTTATGTTAATTATGTGGCTTTCTTGTCTGCTTCAGACACGAGGAGGACTGCGTAAATAACACAGCTCCTTGAGTACCGCCCCTTGGTGTCTGTTGCAGTAGGGAAACCTAAACTATTCTTAGCCTGGGATCCTGGCCAACTACTTGACAGTAGAGCCAGGCGGAATACAACAACATGGTTCCATCAATTGGATGTTAGAATGATGCATCTTGGGATAGCGTCATTTCTTGACACATGGCGGGAAATATTTATATTGCCACAAATTTATTGAAGACTATTTTTTATTTTCATATGAAATGCAAATTTCGAAAACTTTAACAAATATAATCCAAGCGTTGTTGATTAACATCGTGAATCAACAGTTAATTAACAATCCGATCGATATATTCCTTGATTATAAAATACGCACATGCGCAGTAATTCACTTTATGACTTTATTTCAATAGTTGAAGTTTATTATATGAATGTCATGTAAAATACTGTATGTTGTATCAATTATATATGTTATGTGTATATGCCCCCCTGGGGACCTAATTTGGAAAATAAAACTTATCTTATCTTATCTTATTTTATCATAATTATTTATGATAATAAGATTTTTCAAGATCTGTCCATTGATGATAATCAGTTTTCAACCATTCATTGAATGAAATTTGAATAGGTCAAATTGACTAAATGGTTCTTTATTGACTTTACACACTCTTTCTTAAAGTATATCCATATCTGGACAGTGTGAATTGGTTAAATTCAAACTTATTAAAGTTGAATTCAGTTAGACTGTTGAGGGTTTTGAAATTTAAACAGATTTTTATTTAATGCTAATCGATAGTAAAAGCGTAGGATCAAAGCAAAATTGTTCCAATAGAAAGTTTTGTTAACTATTTAATATGCAAATGCCACACCTCAATCTATTATACATATAAAAGCTAGCTGAATGTAAAGAATTTGAGGAAGGAATCTATAGATGTACTTAAGCTGTGTATTCTTGGAGTAAATGACAAACATATGCATTTACATCATATATCAAGACATTCTACACAACAGACAGCTGCATTCAGATCTTTTATTTATTATTACCTCCTACCATATTAAAAGAATGAGATATGAGGATAAGTTAGGTGCTAGGTGAAGCAATGCAAAAGTTTAGGTACATTTTTCAGAGTTTTTCAGTCCTGCAAATTTTCCCCAAAAATTTGTCATACCATAATATCAATTTTATGTGTACATGTTATGTTGCCCGTCAAGGGCCCTTGATTGGAATAATAAATATTCTTATTCTTATTCTTATCAATTCTTATTATCATTTTACAGTAGTTCTTCATCTTTGAATGGTAAGATATTTCGATCAATTTCATACCAATATTTGCATTTAATTAGGGTTTCATGGAAGACCTAATGCTGATCTTGAACTTTGTTCCCTTGGAGAAGTATTATTTTAGATATTTGATTTAGCATTATTTTCAAATCTGAAAGATGTCTGCTTCTCTGCTAGGTATGCACTATTAAGAAGTAAGAGCAAAGACTGGTCAGCAAGGTGTCAGAATAATTGTTGGTCTGGTTGGGTTAATGCAGGGTTCATTTTCATATCACATTAACATGGTCTTGTCCTGAATATGCACTTAATTTGCCTTTGTACATTATAAACAGACATTATAAACAGCTAATCCATCATCATCATTCTTGTTTTTACATTTAGCAGGGCAATATCACAAAATATATTTGCATCAATTTTTGGACCATACATGAATTTTTGGTAACAATGATTAAAAAGACCAAGAAACTTGTTATATTCAATCTAATAAGAATTTGTATTTATCTAATTATTTAGGTCTAGCTTAATTAGACAATGACTTACAAGAATTATGTCAGATAAACCCTCAAGGTGTATATCTGTGTACTTTTAAAGTGTTTAAAAAAAATCACAGCCTTTCATTCTTTTGATTTGTAAAGATTAAAAGACAAAAAAAAAATGCTGGCCTGTCTGGGAATTTTGGTGATTTTTTTGTCACTTAAGAAATCTATAGGGAAAAATGACATGATAAACAGTTATCCCAGGGGGGGTTTTGTTTAGGTTAAAGCAATATGTTATGAAAATATTCTAGGAATTATGTCATATCTTAAGGAAAAAGCGTGTTTGATTTAAAGTTTCCTGTGAAAAAGTTTCAATTCCAAAATAATTTGATTTCAGCTATTTTTTTAATACATTGAACATAAATATTTAAAGTAATTTACTAAATATCAGATAAATGACACATTAAGTGAGATAACTTTAAAGTATTACCCTATTTTTATGTAAATTTTGAATACACTGTACTTGTATTATTTGACAATTTATGCAGTGACAATTTAAAGTGAAAATTAAATGTTTGTCATGTTCATTGAATTCTTTAAAAGCCACAGACATCTCTTTTTTTGTGAATATGCATTTCTTCACCTTTCTTCAAATTTTCTTACCAAAAGCCTAAAATACATTTATATCATGGACCTTTAAAAATCAGTCATGACTGGAAAATATGATGATTTCCAGAACCTCAGATTTCTTGCCTTTGGTAGGATAGCTCAATTTGTAGTAAGAGTAATTGGTAAGAGTTCCATATGGCACACCCACCATACTAAAAGAACACAATAATGTATTAGAGTTTATTTCGTGGGGGTACCATATGGAACTCTTTCCGATTTCTTCATATAACAAAACCATATTCTCTGCAAAATTTGGTCAATTAATGAAAGGTCCCATTTGGCCTGAGAAATTAAGTATTACCAAACAATGTGATTTGTGCACAAATTTAATGATATGTAAACAAATTTATGATAAGTACTCACTGCGATTATGAAGATGAAAGAAGCTTTAACCTTAAATTCAACTAAAATATGATATGAAATTATAATTTTGACACATATTTGTGATTGGGAAATAAACATTTTATGCAAAACCAAGTAGATACTTATGACAGGCATTTTTCCTACATACACTATAGTGATTTATGCAGTTGGTTCTTGTATGCATTCAATATTTGATGTTGTGAAAACCCTATGAAAATTGACTAAAATCTATGTGTTATATAATATGGAAACGCTATAAGAAATTGTTTTCTATGATGTAATAACTACATTTATTGTGATGTAATGGATCCTACAGTACCTGTAATGTTTTTGGTTTTTCTATAATCTCAACCTTTTTAATTCTCTTAAATTTAAATTTCAGTAAAAAGTTACACAAATTGAAGGCTTTTACTGCACCCTTTCATTTAAGGTTTAATTGTTGAATTCCTTCAAGACCAAACAATACAATGTTATTCTTTGAAACACCTGTATACACATTGGTACAAATATTGAAAATACACATATAAAGCATTGTATACATTAATGAATTGTGCATATGAAAAGAAGAATGTTAAATTCAATTTATATTCAAGATCATTACAGAAAAAAAATGTTAGGCAAATACTAACCCGGAAGACCTGCTAGTGAATTTATTACTTTTATTTTACAGATATTTTTATCCTTATTTATTTTGTTTGATGTAAAAATTTACAAGATTTGATTACACTCCACAGTTTGTAAAAATATTCTCAATAAAGTACTGCTCACAATGTTTCCTGAGTAAGCTTTAGCTAGGCTAAATGAGGTTATTTTATTGCTACCCTTTGGAACACATTTGACACCCAGAATTAAAGTAGTAGTGCTTTTTTTCACAACTGTATTTTATATCATAAAATAAGACTGCCTCTTTATTCTGAGCAAAATATATGCAGCTTATTCTTACATTTGTATTGGTTTTGATTAATGTTAATGAAACAACTTTAGGAAAGGATACATTGTGTATAGGTAAAGCTTTTGTTTAACAATTCTAACAACTGACATAATATCCCCATAACCCACTAATCTCTTGCCCAATTAAATATTTCAGGCTGGTTTCGATTACTTTAAGGGCGAATTTTTTACCATTAAACTGGTTACGGTTTCTAGTAGGTTTGATTCCCAAACCAGTTCTGAACTAGTTCAACAAACCATTCAGAAACCGAAATTCAAAACTGAAACTTAAGTTTGAATGCAACATATTCACTCCAAGTGTTTAAATTACTCACCATATTTTGATTGGATTTTACTGATTACTATAGGTTTCAGCAAGCTTTAATGATTTTAAAAGTTGTTTTCTGATCTCCTGTACAGCAAATCTATAAGACTATAGCTGCATTTGTACATTGATAAGATGATGCATCAACTCTTTTTATTATACCCCACGCAACGAGTTGCGGAGGGTATAATGTTTTTGACCCGTCCGTCCGTCTGTCCGTCCGTCTGTCCATCCGTCCGTCTGTCTGTCCGTCCGTCAGTCCGTCAGTCCTATTTCTTGTCATCGCAACTCCTCTCAAACCACACTACAGAATTTCACGAAACCTTTTTAGATAATAAGGACATACTATGTAGTTGTGCATATCGACAGGAAATTACGATTCAATTTTTTTCTAGGAGTTACGCCCCTTTGAACTTAATTACTTTAATGTACTACTGCAACCTTTTGTCATCGCAACTCCTCTCAAACCACACAACAGAATTTCATGAAACCTTTTCAGATAATAAGGACATACAACATAGATGTGCATATCGACAGGAAATTACGATTCAATTTTTTTCCCAGGAGTTACACCCCTTTGAACTTATTTGCCAAATATACTACTGCAACTTTTTGTCATCGCAACTCCTCTCAAACCACACAACAGAATTTCATGAAACCTTTTCAGATAATAAGGACATACTACGAAGATGTGCATATCGACAGGAAATTACGATTCAATTTTTTTCCAGGAATTACGCCCCTTTGAACTTATTTGCCAAAGATACTACTGCAACCTTTTGTCATCCCAACTCCTCTCAAACCATACAACAGAATTTCATGAAACCTTTTCAGATAATAAGGACATACTACGTAGATGTGCATATCGACAGGAAGTTATGATTCAATTTTTTGTTCTTACACTTATTTTATTTCTCCAATGACAATGTGGGGACGTGGGGTATGTGAGCGCGCTCACTAAGGTTCTTTAATTTACCTAGAATATTCCATGCCCCTGCCAGGAGTTTAAAGATAATTTTAACAAAAAGTGAGATCAGTAATCAAAAGTGTTGACAATTAAATACCCAGAGATAAATTGGTCAAAATGTTTCTTTTCATATTTAATAAAACAAGACAGATTTAGCCAAGTGTATATATATATGTTACATCCATAACTAATGAGCAAGCACTTAAATTGTTCTACTTGGCAACACTTCATTGAACTTGATAAGACATTTAGTTAAATATTTTGATTATTTGATGAAGTATCTAATATTTTAAAACTCTCCAATTAATGTATTACTACTGAAGGGACAATTTTAATTTTAGCCTAACTGCTTGTTGTCATGTCTGGCAGCAATTTTTGTCTTAATTATATAGGTTTCAAGTGAAATGAAATGAATATATATAATGATATAAGGTTTGGAGTTTATGAAATAAAAACCTGTCAATAAACACTCCAGCTATAAAGGGATCGGAAATATGCTTAAGTTATTAACTTAATCTTGAACTATGACAGTTTGCAAATAGAAATGGAATCCCACTTAACAGATCAGATAGATCTTACATAGGGAAGATAATTCTTTACTTTACTTCTTAAAGGTAGTTAATAATATACATTTCATTTGAACATTAAAAGACTTCAGCATTTTTGGATTGGGGGGGGGGGGGGGGGGGGGGGGGGAAATACCTTTTCATTTTTTGTGAAAATTTTAATGTTGCTGAAAAATTTATTTTACATTGGAAATATTCTTCTTTATATTTGGTTAAGAATACAAGGAGATAAGAGGGGTCTAAAGATGACTTTCGAATTCATGCACTTTCTTGTAATTTAAAATATCGTGTGTCACAATGTTTGTGTTATTACGTCACAGTAAGATCCGATTGTTGGATGACGTCTTCTATGCGATTGAACTCAGGCTAAACGGTGTAACTCATTCATAAAAAACAACTAGAGATTGGTGTATTATAAGAGTCAGAACACCAGAGGTTTGATTTTCTTTAGTCATTTGTCAATTGTCACAGATTATGAAACATATTATTCCTATGGAAACAGTGCTAAACAATTGCACAAATCTTATATTTCAGAAGGCACAAGAGTTAAACAATGTAGTTCATTGCTTATTATTTACATCTTGAATGTGTCTATTGTCCATGACCTATTATTTGGTCAGTGTCAAGATGTGGTAATGACGCCAGTCTGTATGAGAAATTGGTCCAGTATAATCATTGTAAGGAAAACATATCTGTCTGACAATTGTCACCTGACCTTGACTTTATTTTAATGCTATTTTCTCTCACTCACAATGAGCAATAGGTCATCTATATGCTTTGTTGATGAATTTGTAAGGTGTAAATGTCTGTCTGATTGCAAGGTTCTTCTTACTTTGACCTCATATTTATGGTTCAATAATCTATGTCATGTTTTCTTTCTTAGGTTAATTTTTCAGTTACTACGAAAAGAAAGGTCAAATATTTTTGGTGTATAAAATCATTACAACTTGTACATGTCTGTCTGACAGGGTTCACCTTGCCTTTATCTCAGATTCATTGTTTCGTTCATCAAATGTGACACATGAAAAATGTTTTGATATAAAAAATTACAACATACTATATTTAGTCATAATTAAACAAGCATATTAACATTACATAATTTTAAGTTCACCATACAATAAAATTATCTTTCTTTGTGAAATTTTAGTAGAAGAAAACTTAAAAAAAGTAAACTGAAACTGGAAAACCCATGAAAGAAAATGAATTGTTGCAACCCTCATATTAGAATCCATAGCAATAAGATCTCTTGAGACAACTTTTTGTCTTTAGAAATGTCTAATTTAATCTACATTACTTATGTCTCTAGGTTGCAGTATTGTAATTGACTGCTCCATAGGCTTACATCCAAAAAAGCAATTTTATAATAAAATGTTACATAGAAAAATATTTCCATGTACATATCATGTATTTATAAATGTGAAATTGTGATTTAATGGGGAAAAAAGAATTAAGCTCATGCCACGAAGTATAAAAAGTGATGAAACCCTTGAAGTCAAAACTACTTTATTCTACTTTCTGTTTGCTGTTTTAAATAGACCACACCACATCCAGTAAACATGATATCCTTCCACTTTCCAGGTTTTGATGTTCCAAAAAAGATGCAACATTTTGTTTACAATTAGATGTTTCAAATCAGTATAAACTTTTAATCTAACAGATAATATTGAGTCCAGAAAAAAAATCTGAAAAAGGACCTTTTTATTTCACTCCATGTTTTGACATGCAACGGAAACTTGGTACCTAAATGTCTTAAGACTACTCAAGAAACTGATGATGATTTGCTTTGTCTTTGGAATATCATATAAATATGTACATTATGGTTGTTTAAGTATTTCTCTAATACATTTATAAATTTACATGCCATATTTTTTCCTTCAGAAAATTTATGTTGTTCTTACCCCTGTCAAAATGGAGGAGTTTGTCTTACAAAGGGATTCAAAGATTATGAGTGTGACTGTACAAGCACTGACTTCTATGGAAGAAATTGTGAAACTCGTAAGTATTTACTGACTAATTGATAGCTATTTCTATGTGATGATTCAGTAAAGTCTGACATATATATCCTAATTTTAGGACGTCTGCACAAATGTAAACATTTGTAAAAGGAGTCACATCCTCATGCACATTCATTTTAGTTGGTATAAGATGGGTGGTGGTATACGCAGCCTCTGGCTCTGTTCTCTATGAATCTGTGTATTGCACTACTTCCCACAAAGTACTTTTTATGCCCCTGCTGCAAGGCGAAGGGGGCATTAAGTGTTACCCTTGACTGTCCGTCCTTCCTTCTTTCCATCTCCGTCCGTTCCATTTTGGTTTGAAAAGCAAGCTTGAGCGGGGGCATTCATGTCCTCAGACACATTCTTCTTTTATTTAAAATCCTATTCAAACAACTCAGCATGTCTTTATAAAATTAAGGAGATGTGGTACATGTACGATTTATACCAATGAGACAATTTTTACTAGAGACAAAATGATGTGGATGTAAGCAATTATAGGTCAACAGATTACATAAACTATTATCTACTTTAGAACATTCACTTGATATGTGACAAATGTCATTTTCTCCCAGTGTTTTGCTTAACATTACAATAATACAAATATGCTAAATCATTTTTCAATGGTTATCTCAAACCAGTCGCTATTGTTCAGGGAATTTTAAATAAATTTGTTACAATTGAACCTCCTCTGCAAATATGTGTAAATAAGAATTTAAATGATTCATTTTTCTCAAAAGGATTGACTTCTTCATTATTTATCAGTGTACTTTGACAACATCTAATTCCATTGGTAAACAAATGTAATAGAATTTAAAGACACCTTATCAGAGATGGACAAAGTCAATATTTATGATTAGAGCAGTTAGACTGTTTCAGTTCTAATAATACTTGACTTAAACAGCTATGGGCAGTTCAGTAAATATTTATATACCTAAGTCATGAGGATTCTCCCTTTGTAAGCCTAGTACTTTGTTATAAAATGACAATTTAAAGTAGCCATAATATAAATGTACATGGGACTATGAATATAGTTCGCAAACACATGTTTCTGGACACCTTTATTACTGGTATTACTCAAAAACAAAGATTTGTACATAAAAAAGTTTGTTAGCATCAAATTAAAATGGCTTATTTGCCTTAGGGAGTTGAAAACTAACTTTTTGTTAAAAAGGTAGAGGTACTGTGAGGGGAGCTAACAGAAGCAAGTTCCACTTAACCCTTTCAATAGATTGGAAAATGCTATAATACAAAAGAATGGATAATTATGTGTTATGATTGCCAATGATACAACTAGAGACAAAAGGACAAGAATGTAAACAGCTGTAGTGCACTGTATGGCCTTTAACAATGAGCAAAACCCATAATTTATAGTTTAAATTACGCTATAAAAGACCCCAGCGTGACAAAATGTGAAATAATTCAAAAGAGAACCAACAGCCTGATTAATGATAAAAAAAATAATAATTAAAAAACAAATATGACAGATAGTTGCCAGAAAATTGGGTAACTTATGTATGATTTCAGTTTAAGAAGAGCAAAATTCCCTTTTTGTCCTGCTTTCAACTGATGACATTTTAAATAAACAAATTTGTTTAAAAAAGAAAAAACTTATTTAGTAAATTCACTGAAAGAGAATAAGTCAGTTAAACAAACATCTAGTAGTACATGTACTAAAATTTACAACAGAATCCATAGACATGTCAACCCATGGCGGACATCAAATCTAAAGTAAATATTGCCTGATGCAAGCTGATAAACCTGAATATATATATCAATATTTTCTTAATGTTTGGATAACTGTAGGTAAAATTCAAATTGAACTCTTTAGTGGTTAACATGTGAATGGTTTTGATTGTAGAGAAATATAGGGCTACATTTGTGTTTATGATTAAGGCTTAAAACTGTTAATCCTGTTACACCATACAAGAACAATGTTAAAGTATGCTCCTTGTCTGTTCAGTTTTATAGATAAAATTTCCCCAAACTTTGCTTCCTGTTTTGGAGTGCATTAAAATTAAATTTGATTGTGATTGTTTTTAACAAATTTAAAAAAAAAATTGTAAGTTTAACATATTGTTAAAAACTATAACTGAACAATAGGGAACTGATAAATAGTACTTGACATTAAACAAACCCATAACGGAAACTCTTATAATAATAAAAGGATGTCCCACATGTCTTTTTTATCTAGGTATAAAAGGTGCATAGTTTGCTTTTTTTTACAATGATTTATTATAATCTTATTTTACATTGTAAAATTTTACAATAAGACATGACCAATGTTAATTAAAGTAACTAAGATAAATAGTTTTCTTGGTATAATGTTTCTGAAATACTGCACATTTGAAAAGGTAATTTAAATGTATAAGTTAATAGAAGCAATTAATGCCTTACTAATGAAAAAAAAATTTGCATTCTACATAAAAAATTGTAATTTCTTAAAATATGTGTGTTGTATTTTTACATATATGCCCTTTCAAAAATATGTGAAAAGAGCAAACAGACATCCTATTAAACTTAATGTAGTAGGGTTATGTCTATGATCATTGCCACACGTTTCTGTTTTCTATACACATTATTTATGTTAGACACAAGGTGAGATGAGCTTCACAGTTTTGCTGTTTTACAATACAAATACGAAAAATAATATAGTTCAATTTAGATGCTTAGTCAGCTTTCCCAGGTCTTAACTTAACATATATTCAATTTCTGTAACCCAATCTGCCTTGTGGTCACTACTTGACTAGAAATCAGATTGAGCAGACTAAAAATGACTTCATATGTCCACATTCACTATTTTAACTCAGTATTGAATGTGAAGTGGTGATGTACAGCAGGTGGGCAGGCGGGTGGTCAGGTGGCCAAGCGGCAGCCAAACAGTGTCTGTGCAATAACTTGAAAACACTTTAAAGAGATCTTTTCAAATTTATATATGTTGTTTCCTGTGACAAAATGAAGGTCTATTTTGATTTTCACGATTTTAGCTTTTATTGTTGTTGAGTTGTAGACCTTTAAGTAGCAAAAAGTGATACTTAGATTGATTTTTGGCCTTTCCATTTCTGAACCCTACTAAAAATTCATTTATTTTTTATGCCCCATATGTTATGATAGTAGAGGGGCATTATGTTTTTCGGTCTGTGCGTGCGTCCGTCCGTTCGTTCGTCCATCCGTCCGTCCGTCTGTTCGTCCGCCTGTTCCGCTTCAGGTTATAGTTTTTGATCAAGGTAGTTTTTGATGAAGTTGAAGTCCAATCAACTTGAAACTTAGTACACCTGTTCCCTATGATATGATCTTTCTAATTTTAATGCCAAATTAGAGTTTTGACCCCAATTTCACGGTCCACTGAACATAGAAAATGATAGTGCGAGAGGGGCATCCGTGTACTATGGACACATTCTTGTTTATATTAGCAGTTCAGTTAAAATTTGGTTATACAAGACATCTGTTGGTGGCCTTGTAGCATATTTTAAGAAATCTTATCTATTCCCCGTTGATTGTTAATTCAGTAGCAAACATTGACAATATACTGATTTTAAAATCAACATAGAATATATATACACTTCCTGTAATCCATTCAGATTTCTACACTTAAAAATGGTGACATGTACACAATGTTATCTACTATGATCTTTTAAGAATACCTGAAGTTAGTGAAAAGGATATCTCAATTAGATACATGTTGACTTAAATGGACTTAATTTAGTGAGACAATTGAAAAAAAAAGATTAACTAGATAGGTGTTTAGAGACAAGAAATAAACATAATTGATTGTTTGAATAATTTTTGTTAAGTGCTGCATCAGCAATTAACATTTGAGAATAACCTGTTACATGTATTATGAAAACTCAGTTAACTTCATCTTGAAAGTTCTGCAAAGTTCTTCAGCACAAGCAAAGAAAATAGAAAAATTTGAAATGAATAAATAGGAAAACTAATAATAAATTGGAGAAAGCCTTAGAATTGACCTGTCCCAAGTCAGGAGCCTGTAAGTCAGTGGTTGTGGTTTGTTCTTGTTTATCATATTTGTTTTTCATTTTATGTTTTGAACATAAATCAGGCTGTTAGTTTTCCTGTTTGAATTTTTTACATTTGTCATTTTGGGGCCTTTAGCTTACTATGCTGTATGGGTTTGCTCATTGATGAAGGCTGTACAGTAACCTATAGTTGTTAACTTGTACGTCATTTGTCTCTGGTGGAGAGTTGTCTCATTGGCAGTCATACCACAACTTCTTATTTTTATGCCCCTCCTACCATTGTAGTAGGGGCATTATGTTTTTGGTCTGTGCGTCCATTTGTTCGTTCGTTCGTCCATTCGTTCGTCCGTCCGTTTGTCCGTCTGTCCCGTGTCAGGTTAAAGTTTTTTTTCAAGGTAGTTTTTGATGAAGTTGAAGTCTAATCAACTTGAAACTTAGTACACATGTTCCCTATGATATGATCTTTCTAATTTTAATGTCGAATTAGAGTTTTGACTCCAATTTCACGGTCCACTGAACATAGAAAATGATAGTGCAGTGGGGCATCAATTCTTGTTTATATTGAAACTCAGTTTACATTGTAGTACTGTAAATTACGTCTGTACGTTCAGAAATTGATTTCCGTTCTTTAACTTTAGTTTGCCTCAACCAAATGTTATGAAACTTATACACAATACTTATTACCACAAAAATCTGATCAAGTACGAATTTGGGTGGTGTCACTTTCACTGTTCTTGAGTTATGTCCCCTTATAACGTTATATGCAAGCAGGGGCATCATCTGTGTCCCATGGACACATTCCTCATTTATTATCAATGAGAATAATGGAACTGGGTTAGTATTGCAATAATAAGAACTTGCATTCTTATATCAGATACATAGATATATGTATAAAGATTTTCCTGCAATCGCAATAATTAATCTTGCATTTTTGTCAATTTTTGAAATATTGCAATAATAAATGCATGCAATAATTTCTGAATTTACACTAATACTAAAACATGACATATTTGGAATGAGTTTTACGCTACACATACTACAGTAGAGGCCCAATATATTTCTGGTCTATGTGTCTGTCCATCAGTCTGTTCATCCATTTGTCATCTGTCAGTTAGTCCATCCAATATCAGGTTAAAATTTTTGGTTAAGTTAGTTAACCATGAAGTACACATGGTCATTATAATGTGAACTTTTCAAGTTGTATGCCAAATTACAGTTTTGACCACAGTTACACAGTTCACTGAGCATAGATATAATGGTGAGAAATAAGAATATTCTCAGGTTACACAGTTCACTGAGCATAGATATAATGGTGAGAAATAAGAATATTCTCAGGTTACACAGTTCACTGAGCATAGATATAATGGTGAGAAATAAGAATATTCTCAGGTTACACAGTTCACTGAGCATAGATATAATGGTGAGAAATAAGAATATTCTCAGGTTACACAGTTCACTGAGCATAGATATAATGGTGAGAAATAAGAATATTCTCAGGTTACTCAGTTCACTGAGCATAGATATAATGGTGAGAAATAAGAATATTCTCAGGTTACTCAGTTCACTGAGCATAGATATAATGGTGAGAAATAAGAATATTCTCAGGTTACTCAGTTCACTGCGCATAGATATAATGGTGAGAAATAAGAATATTCTCAGGTTACATAGTTTACCATGAAGTTATGGTAACATCAACTTGAAACTTAGTATTAATGTTGAACCTTTTAAATTATATGACAAATCAAGATTTTGTCCCTAATATAACATTGTCTTTATTTATTTATTTCAGCAACTTTCTCAAAAAGAATCAAGTTATGGTTGAAGCCTTCACCGCTAACATTGCATAACCTATTGATAGGGAATAATTGGTTGTGGGACATCATCAATAATATACCTTTCCTGAGAGGCTTTATCATGAAGAAAGTTTATACCAGTAAGTTTATTATAAGATTTCATATTTTATTGCAGACACACTTCATGGTGAGAAAGAGCTTCTATCGGGTGAACTTCAAAACAATACATTAAAGGAATAGAGATGGTAAACCCATAAACAGCCCTGTAAAGGTGTATTTTTTAATCTTCAATTGTTTTAGTAATTCTAATGTGTATGTACTGCTAAATGTATTACTTTGGGAAGTATAATATGAAAAATTGTATACCTGCTTCATATTTATAGATATATTAGCCTAAAATAGGAATTATTTTTATTTAGTTGATTTTTTTAGAAATTTGTCATCTTTTTCTACCTTTTTTTTAATATTTTATATGTGGCGCCACTCCTGGCCCATTGAAATTTTGGTTGAAACGTAAAGAATATGGTATATAGAGAAATTTTCAGCATAAATATTTGTGGGCAAGTGGTGGAGCCACTGTTAATTTTTTTCTAGAAAACTTTCATAAATTTTGCCAAATTATGCAAGAAATCAGGTTTGAATGAAATTTGTCTACATTTATGACATGACATGAAACAATTAGACATTTTAACATATGTTTTCATCAATTTTCACAACATTATCACTGTTTAAATTTTCCAGATTTTTAGGGCCAAAATTATGATTTATTGAACCAACTCCTTTCATTAGTGTTACTTATCATGACAAGAGATTTTTGTTTAGATTTTTGTTTAGATATTGTCAAGTATTTTCTAGAAACAGTTAAAGATTTCAACAATATTTGATATGATCAATTTGCTTTGAAATGTAGTTATTGCTTGACATGTACAAAATTCATTTAGTTTCTGGACCATTGACCCTCTTGTTTTACCAGCAGCTCATATACCTGTTTTGAGGATTGATAAACTGAAAAAAAATTGTGTTCATTACCATCTTTTTAAATAAGGTTTAGTTTTATGACTGTCAATTTCTAAATTTCTTAAATTTTGGTTTAAAATTAATTACCGGTATCTGAAAAAAAATGTTTGGTCTTTTTGTATACATCATGAAAAAATGTGGGTCCAAAATGTTTTGAAATATTTCTGCATGGGAAAGGATATTGTAATTATTTTTCTTTTCTTATATTGATTTTGATCAGTCTGTATGATTCAATTGACCATTTCAATATAACAATACGAAGATGTGGTATGATTGCCAATGAGACAACTTTCCACAAAAGATTAAATGACACAGAAATTAACAACTATAGGTTACTGTACAGCCTATTATTTTGTCCATCTTTATACAAAAATCTTGAAGAAGCACTTTGATTGCATCATCAAGACCAAAATCCAAGGTTGAAAATTGAAATGGACATGCAATTATAACATATGAACTACCTAAAGAATATTAAATCACAAATTTTTACATTTTACATGTATAACTTTTCTTTTAAATTGTGGTCTAGTATTTTCAAAGTTAAATTAAAAAATGTTAGACTATCAGTATTTCTCAAAAAGGCTCTTTGATATTTTGTATTTTGAAAAAAAATTTAAATTCAGCATTGTATTATGTTATTGTTTTGTATGAATGGCATGCATTTGAATGGCAGCTTTAAAATATACAATACAATTTTTTGGAAAATAAGCTTAAAAGATCATGAAATACTTATACCTCAATATTTCAATTATCTTTTGCATAAGATATGAAATACAAATGTATAATCCAGATTTTATCTTACAAGTATTCTTTACATTGTGAATTAGTTAATTTTGAAAACAATGGTTGACACACTTATTCATTTTTTTGTCATAAAAATTTCACTTCAAACTGTCTTAATGTGCCAATCATAGACTGTTATGTATATAAAACACAAAAAAAAAACCCAATACAAATCTTCATTCCTGATTACACTATATTATAAGCTAAAACACAACACATCTTCATTTTGCTGCTTTTACTGTATTGTAAGCAAAGGCGAAACACATCTTCATTGCTGCATGATCTTAATTGTAAACTAGAATACAGCACATTCATTTAACTTAATTGTTAGCAAAGGCACAACACATCTGCATTGCTGCGTTAGCTTAATTGTAAACTAAGATACAACACATCTTCATTTATTGTAAGCAAAGACACAACACATCAGTTAATTTTATGGTAAGAATTTTTGTAAAAACAGTTGCAGTATATTTTGCTTTGCAAGCAAAACAGCTGACATTATGATTAAAAGCAAAACATAGTGGTTATTTTCATTTATAAACAAAAACAAAATTTGTGTAAAAGTAAAACCAAATAAAACCAAAATGAGATTTCAGTAAATATAGATTATTATTTTTATTATTTTTTTAGTGAGATCAGACATGATTGATAGTCCTCCAACATATGAAAGTGAACATCCATACATCACCCTTGATGCCAATTACAATGTTTCCTTTTACACAAGGACCTTGCCACCTGTCCCTGTGGAGTGCCCCACCCCAATGGGTGTGGCAGGAAAAAAAATACTTCCAGATTTAGATGTGCTGACTAAAAAATTATTCATACGAGAGAAATTCAAGCCAGAGCCAATAGGAACAAGTGCTTTGTTTAGCTTCTTTGCTCAACACTTTACACATCAGTTTTTTAAAACCGACATCAAGCGTGGACCACAGTATCAGTGGGGAGGACATGGGGTAATTAAAGTTATATTCATTATTATTAATGCTGGTACAGAATTAAATGTTAACAAAACAAAAGTACATGTTAAATAAATCATTTTTTCCATAATTTGTTAAAAAAGTATACATTCCATACTGAAAGATACCATAGATAAGTGGGTTATAATATGGTCTTTTTAATGTTGTCATGTTGTGAGCCATTGCTGATATTGGCCAATATTTAAAGAAACCCTGTCTACACTGTAACACATATTAATTAAATTGATAACGTTATTCTAAATAGTCATTGTTATTAGTTTTCATTCATAGCATGGTAAGATAAACACTTAACAGAAGACAAATTTTCAGATGCTTAGGTAGAGATCATTAAAAACTCAGCCGTTCCCCTAAACGAGAAAGTTAATATCTGAGAACATGAATGAATTCACAATATTATATTTGTGGTCATTTGTACTGTAACTACTCCTAGACTTTATTGACATTATATATCACAAGAGTTGTAGAATTTGCTGGTTTCTTTTAATCGAATGAATAGTCTGTTTGCCAATTACTGATTTGATTCTGTTATTACACACCTCTAAAAACAAGCTGTTTCCCTTTGCCGATTGTAGACTGTTCTAAATGAGATAAAATTGGCGGCTGCCTATGCAAAGCATGATAAGTCTAAAGTAACATATAGGCGTTTTAACAAATTTTTAATGAAAATTAAACTATTTATAATATCAAAAGTTTTAAGCTTAACAAAAACTGAAAGATTACACACATTATGCACAGATAAATTTGCTCTTTCATCTAGCTCTTCATTGTCTATGAAAATTTATGTCCCTCCTAAGGGAAAGTATAGTGGTACAAATGGATCTCTAATTACAGGGTCAAATATGGAATTGGCAAAATAAGTCTATTAGAATTATTTATGTTTAATGACCTAGTAATGACGACAGGTGTTTTGTGAAAAAAAGGTGAAAATCTCAGTGCTGTTGGCATATTTTCATCTGTTAATGGCTAATAAGCATCATATAATATATTTGGAAAATATTTTAGGCAATACATAATTCATTCATTTTTAGGTTCTTTAGTAAACAAACAAAGCCTTTTATTCTCAAGAGGGTAAAAAAATGTTTCAGCATTTTGTAATTAAATGATGATGATATTATTTATGTGTTCAAATATATACCTTAACAAAATTTTGGTACTTTGTAGTTCTTTAAGGTTTGTAAGAAACGTGTGTTCAGATTTTGTAATTATTTATAGGTTGATATGACACATGTATATGGAAAAAACAAGCATGATGAAAATCTACTAAGATCTTTTAAAGATGGCAAACTAAAAGTTCAAGTAAGTATATTTGCTGTATGTTTGTTTATTCTACATTGGCTAGAGGTATAGGGGGAGGGTTGAGATCTCATAAAACATGTTTAACCACGCTGCATTTTTGCGCCTGTCCCAAGTCAGGTGCCTCTGGCCTTTGTAAGTCTTGTATGTTTTTAATTTTAGTTCATTTATATGTTTTGGAGTTTAGTATCACTGAACTAGTGCACATTTTTGTTTAGGGGCCAGCTGAAGCCAGCCTCCGGGTGCGGGATTTTCTCGCTGTGTTGAAGACCCATTGGTGGCCTTGGGCTGTTTTCTACTCTTTGGTCAGGTTGTTGTCTCTTTGACACATTCTCCATTTCCATTCTCAATTTTATTGTTGTTGTCACAAGAATAAATATTACTACATAAAAGTTATTTAAAAATAACTTTATGATAAAAATCATTTATTACTGTTTTGTTCTCACAACCTATCATGGATTTGTGTGTTTACTCATTCAAATAATTGTAATGTTGATTTTTCATAAAGAAAATTGCAGTTATCTCCCTTTAATAGTTGAATTAAAATTAAAAATTAAAATGTGATAAGATTCAAAATTTTTATCAGTGTACTCAACTTTTGTATTTGGTAAAACATGTATAGAAATTTCAGAAATTAACACTTTACTTAATCCAAATAACTTTAAAAAAACACCAAAAATGAAATAATAATTGAATAATATCCAACAAAACCCTGAAATCATTATACCAAACAAAATACATATTTTTTTTTTTTAGTGGTTTCCACTCTTATTCTTTCTCATGTATTACTATATATCATATGAAAAGGTTAATATCAGTTCTTAAAATTTGTAGACAGTAGCAAATAAAATTAACAAATCTTTTCTACCTTTTAGACAGTAAATGGTGAAGATTGGCCACCTTTAAGTAAAGATGCCCAGGTAGAGATGCAGTACATTATGCCAGTACCAGAGGACAGCAAGTTTGCCCTTGGTCACTCATTTTTTGGAAACCTCCCTGGACTATTCATGTATGCCTCCATCTGGATGAGGGAACATAATCGTGTATGTGATGTAATGAAAAAGGAACATCCAGAATGGGATGATGAAAGACTCTATCAAACAGGAAAATTGATATTATTAGGTTAGTTTCCAGGTATAAAACCACTTATTCCAGCTGGGTCAGGAACAGATAAGATAGAAGTACATATTTTAAACAAGATTGTTCCTATGTATAGCTGTAACTTTCAAAATATGGAAAATATTTTGGTATGAAATGAAAGCTAGGATCACTGTTGAACCCTTGTTGAATGTTTGTTTTTAATTATAAAAAAAAAGCATGAAATTAAGAAAAGAAGGGCATATTATCCATTTAGTTATAGACCAACTAACAAGTACTATCAAAAAGAGACAAATTGGAAAAAGCATTATCAATTGTATTTAAAACATCAAAATTTGTCACAAAAAAAAATGAAGCCATTTTAGGAAAAATAAGGCTGAAAAAGGTAAAAAAAGAAATTAAAAAAAAATTACATAATTAATGCTTACATTTCTGGTTATTTAATGCTGAAACCATTGCTGATGTAAGTTTAATAATTTCAATACTTTTTTTCAGGGGAGACAATCAAGATAGTGATTGAAGATTATGTACAGCATTTGAGTAATTACAACTTTAAACTTCTGTTTGATCCTTCATTGTTATTCGGTGAACCATTTCAGTACCAGAACCGTATTGCTTTGGAATTTAATCACTTGTATCATTGGCATCCATTGATGCCAGATGATTTTAATATTGGAGGAACAAATTATACTATAAAGGATTTTTTGGTGAATTCAAATCTTGTTATAAAACATGGAATGGCCACTTTTGTAGATTCATTATCAAAACAGAATGCTGGTGCAGTAAGTAAAATTAGATTTTGAATTCAACAAGGGTCCACATTTTGTGTGGCTGTTTACAGATAAGATTTTGTGTGGCTGTTTACAAATAAGATTTTGCGTGGCTGTTTACAGATAAGATATTGTGAGCTTTTAGAAATGTATTACCACTTCTTGTAGTTATGGCTGATCCATGTGTTTTCAGTATTACAGCTTAGATGATTTTGCATTAACAACTGTTTTATTTGTGAAATCAAGATACTTTTCGTTTAGAATCTACTTCTCTTGTGATTGTTACCCAGAATATGCATGATTTTTGCTGGTTACCTACTCTTTGGTAGGACATTCTGGTACTCAGTCAAGTAAAAGCAACTGAAGGAAGTTAAATCAAGCTTTCAATCCATGCAATTTTTAGAAAAATTATCTGTTTTATGCTTTCTATTCACAACAAGATCATCAGAAAACAGTGAACTTTTTCATCAACATATTGTTTAACTTAATTATGCTTATTTTAGTTGTTCTTACTTGACAGAGTACCAGATTGTCATACGACAGAGTAGGTAACCTGTAGAAAAATTATATACTCCGGAGTCAAAAGTCTGTTATATGAAAATAGTCTATTCTTGGTCTTTGTTTTCACATTCTACTGTATAGTTGGAAGTCACTTTCATTAGGGCCCCACCTAGTGGTGGGTCGCCCTATAGTGATCAGTCTGTCCGTCCGTAACAAATTGTTTCCGCTCTATATCTAGAGAACTGTTATAATTTCATACTTTATACTTGACATGTATATTAACCAACACCAGAGGGTGTGGCATAATGTTTGTACAACTTCCTAGGTCAAAGTTCAAGGTCAGCAGGGCCCAAAGAGATGGCTCCCATCTCAATGATGTCTAGTTTATTTAGGAAGAAACATTTTAGGAAGAAACATATGAGTGAATAAAAGGATAATTTATAGTAGGAAGCTAGTCCTAATTTTAAATAATGTCTTGTTTTAGCCTTTTTCTTTCAGCTAGTTAATATGTCACTCTTATGGTTAAACTGAAATGGACTATCACGCTGAGTTTAACAAAATGTTCTTAAAGTTAATTGATTGATTGTTTGTTGAAGAATTTTTGCTCCGAAATGATTTATTCACATTTTGGACAGAAATTGTTCAAGTCGTTACAAGTATTATGCATTGGATTTAATTTTAAACTGTTCTCTAGGGTAGCAGGCATCTTGTATTTCAGGTTCACAAATTTTAAAAAGGAACATAACATCATCCATGTAGAATTTTACTTCAGTGTTAATTAGCTGTTTCCTTGATGTAACTTTGTGTAGATAAATTTCATATTTGTGTAGAGACCATTTGTAAGTTTTATAATTGACTGATGCCACTATTTTTTATATGTGAATGAAAAGTGATGTGGGGTATAAACCAATGAGACGACAACCCGAAAAGACATCTAGATGTTCTATCTGAAGTTACTCAAGGGACTGTATTAGGACCACTCCTGTTCCAACTTCTATGAATGACTTGCCAGATTGCATGTCTTCAGATGCTAGATTGTTTGCAGATGACAGTCAGAAATCAGGCTGAAACGGCAACACTCCAGAGAGACAAAAGGACTGATGATCACTGATACATAAATATTGTTTTTAACTGATGCATTTAACAATATTTCTTCGAGATATCACTTTGATTAAAGTTCATCTTCTTTTCATTGCAGTTCACAATAAAGAATCATGGGAAATACACAGTTAATGTTGTGAAGGAACTGATCAAACATGGCCGTACATTACGTCTACAGCCTTTAAATAATTACAGAAAACGTTTTAATTTAAAACCATTTAAATCATTTGAAGAGTTAACAGGTCAGTTAATAATTATAGTTATTTAGTTATAAATGTTTTGTCTTGATTTAAATTTTATCCTGTCTTGATCATAACTTAGGCTTACATATTATACTTAAGAAAAAGGGATGTCAACGAGTACTCGAGTACTCGAGTACTCAAGTATTGCTCGGTAGTACCGAGTATCGAATACCAAAATGATACTCGACTAATTGTCATTTGAAATTCCTTCAAACATAGGTAGGCTATGAACAAGAGCACCTTTCCAAGGCTTACACTTTTATTTAATAGTGGCTTAGTCATTCCACCCCCTCTGTACCGTCAGAGCAAATATTTTCATCAGCAGGACGGTTAGTTACGTAACAAAGTTGAGAAATCAACTCGTCACAGAAAAAGTTGATAAGATAATATTTCTAAACAAGAACAAATTCGTTGCAGCCTGTGTCGACCCTCAGAAAATGGTTAAAGGCATCAGTAAATTTTAATCATCTCCCCTTTGTTGATCATTAAATGTGTTTTTTTACGATTTCCAAATACTATTATTTGAGTAATCATTTTTCTATAGATATTTATTTATTAATTGATTAGATCATTGCCAGTTTACATAATTAGTACATGAGGTAACTGAAAGCTATTAATTATAGTATAAAATTCCTTGGACTATTATCTAGTCTTGGGTACTAATGTTGAGGGTTTTACGTCCATAAGACAACGTACCACAATACGTAAAATGGGTATAATTTTGTGTTTCCATTTTGTAGATGTTTTCCGAGCGAGTACTTGAGTATCGCTCGGTAAATTGAACGAGTACTCAATTAGTAAATCTTCACCGAGTTGACATCCCTATTAAGAAATTAATGTGAGGATTTGAAAAATGCAAAAAATGCAATGATCATTACAAGAACTACAAACTTACATAATCTTGTTTTGCAGGAAATGTTCTTCTATAATTTGTACATGAAATGAATAGATTACTGAAAATATTGCATTTTAGTCAGTTGACAAGCATACGCAATTATAAATAATTGATTTAAATCTTAATTTGCAGTATTTTTCTTCTATTTCATTCTTCAAAGATAAATCATGTATGATATCTTTGTTGTAGGTAATAAATGGTTAGCAAAAGAATTAGAAAACTTTTATGGAGATATTGAGGCTGTAGAGTTTTATGTTGGTCTAATAACTGAAAAACGCCGTCCTAAAGCTGTGTTTGGTGAAGCAATAGTTGAAATGGGTGGACCATATTCTGTTAAGGGACTAATGGCTAACCCCATATGTAGTCCTAAATATTGGAAACCTTCCACTTTTGGAGGGAATGTAGGATTTGAAATAGTTAATACAGCAACTATAGAGAAACTTTTTTGTCAAAATATAAAAGAAGACTGTCCAGTAGTGTCATTTAAAGTCCCTGGTTTTGTAGAGGGGCCAGAAAAACCAGTGGATGAACATGGAGAATTATAATGCTCAGATCTTTACTTAAATTTTGTTGATGTATAACTGTGTCAACTTGAAGTAGATGAACATATTACCGTATTGTGTTTTGTTTGAGATTTAAACTGAATTCCAAATAACTTAACATAAACAATAACATATCAGAATTGTGTTGCTCAGACTTTTGTGTATACTGTGAAATCATTCAATTTTTTTATCTAAGGATCTTAAAAAAAGTTATTGGTCTCTACTTGGGATTCAATTTGTACCCATGGATTTGCTTTTCAAAACAAATTGTAAATGTATAGATATTTGTATGGTAAAGTCTTGTATTTTAAAGATCAGGGTTAATTACTTAATAACCTTGTCCCTTTTCATTTTTCAATCCATGATGTTGTTTAAAAGTTTATTCTATATATCTGATTCCTTGACAATTGAAGTTGGCCAAATTAATCCAAGAACTTTAATTTATCTCCTACAAAAACTACCACTTGGTATTTTGAGGAAAAAATAAAAAAAGTTAAAAAAATTGCATAATAATTTGTTGAATTTAGAAAGACAGGTTTTGACAATGATGATGCTAATTTTGTATACTTCCATAGCTTACTTTTTAGGGAAAATAGTCTCACCCATATCTGCCATTTTGTCATTTCTGAAATCCAACAGTTGTCAAGACTTTTTCATTGTGCCAGTAGAAATTCAGCTGATTATTGCATCATATGTGTTGTTATTTTTTTGTGTGTGCATTTTTTTTGCATTATTAGTGTAAAGCTATAGATTGAGCTTGCCTTTTGTTACTGATTACTTACTTTACACTGATTATAGCCTGTTTGATTTACAGCAGACTGGGGCATTCATGTCATTCTGGCAAATCTTGTTTTTGTATAAACATTAATTTTGCATATTTTCTAAAACTTTTTTTTTTTCAACAACTTGTCCTTGTACAAATGAATATTTTTTCTTCTTTTTTATTTGAATACATTTTATAACAAATTAACATGTTCATAATATAAATATTATTCAGACACATTTGATTTGACTGTTTAAACTTAAACTTAATATCATTTTCCAGTTACAATGCCAGTTTTTCAATAAATATACTTATATTAGAAACACATGTAATTTCTCACTGTCTTTGCTCACTGATTAAGAAGGGCATTTTACAATATATCTCATATTGTCATATTTACATTTAAGGCAAATAAATGATCCAGTATTGATATGAAGTGTATTCGTAAAAATGATTAAAAAGAAAAAGAAACAAGAAAAATAAACCCAGAAAGATTCTAGAATGATAAAATAAAATTATGTATTTCTTCTCTAAAAAAATCTCAAAGCTTCCAAAAACTTGGGGTCAAGTATTAATTGCAAAAAAAAGTATTTGATCAATTCTCAATCAGCCTGATTCAAGTGAAATATACATGAAATTAAAAGGAACTCGGTATATAAGTATGTTGTTTAATTTAAACTTCTTTTTTTATATGTTCAGGCAGGATTTTAGTTTTTATTTATTTATATGAATATTAAACATCTCTGTTAGGTTGTTTTAGAATTGTTTATAAATACATTCCTTAAAACATTATAATGATGTTCATATTTTCATTTCTGTATGTATCAGGGTAATTGAAGACAATAGTAAATGGAATTTTACATGTTAATTTAAGTTACAAAAGATTTTTACATTTGAATGGACATTTCATATAAATGCATTGAAACTATGACTTACAATGGCTCCATAAACTGACAACCATTTTGATGTTAAGCATGAAAATTTAGCCTGCTTTTTCATTTTTGTCTGAAGACTTTTACTTATAAGCCTGGTTTATTTTCTAGGGTATAGATCTTATTTGAATTTTTAAATATTATTTGATTATTGCTTAAAGTCACATTTGTACAGCTGTATCGCTGAGAGAAAAAAATGAAGCTCATCATGTGCTTGTGATAAATCTTTTAACTGTAGATAAAATTTTGAATCAACATGCATCCTTTCATATTGGCTATTCCCCCTATTCCCCCTTATACAACTGCTTAGCAGATGACATGATTTTTAATAGCTTGTCAAACTGTGGCATGAATATTTTTTTATAATTAGTAAGAGTACAATGTACCAGAAAGTTCTATTTCTTGAAAAACCCATTTTCGTGTTAAGATTCACTATCAAAACAGAAGGTTTATTAAAGAATCTCTTCATTAAAGTCACTTAATGTGTATTCGCGTACATATGCCCTTCATAGACAGGTTCCACTGTATGTAAATCCAGCATAATGGTATAAAACATGTGGCCTCAATTTCTGCTGATCTTATGATTTGCGATTTAATGTAGTTTATGAACAAGTATGAATTTGTCTTTTTATGAATATAATAGTGTGTTATTAATATATGCATTTATAGTTATATTTTTTGAATTTTTACAACATGAATTGTTCAATATGTATTTAATTATATCTACGCACAAATTAAAACATTATGTATACATATTATTTTATTTATCTTGATGCATTTAGGAGTTTTACATTCAGGCAACCCATGTGTATTTTCTATAAAAAGTTATGTAAAATGGTATATGGTAAGATAAAAGAAGAATGTGTCCATAGGACACAGATGCCTCACTTGTAAATATAAAGCAAATTCAGCAATTTTCCATTTCTAAAGGGACATAACTCAAGAATGGTGAAAGTGATGCCACCCAAACTAGAACTTGATCTGAAAGGTGGTAATAAGTATTGTATTTAAGTTTCATAACATTTGGTTGGGGCAAAGTAAAGTTAAGTGTGGAATCAGAAAATTCAGCTATTTTTCCATTTATAAAGGAACATAACTCAAGAATGGTGAAAGTGACGACAACCAAATTCGAACTTGATTTGTGTTTGGTGGTAATAGCATTGTGTAGAAGTTTCATAACATTTGGTTAAGGCAAACTAAATTAAGAGTGTGGAATGGCAAATTTAGCAATTTTTTCCATTTATAAAGGGACATAACTCGCTAACAGGGAAAATGATGCCACCCATATTCGAACTTGATCTGCATTTGGTGGTAATAAGCATTGTGCATAAGTTTTTTAATATTTGGTTGGTAAAGTTAGAGAATGGAAACTAATTTTGGGACAGCCAAACATACAGACGAACAAGGGTAAAACTTTATGCCACCACCAACCTGGAAAATGACAATATTTAGTAATTTTGGTTGCATATGTGATAGTAGTTATGTGGCCCCTTATTCAAAAAGAAAATATTGTTTTTGCCCTCTTTTGTTGTCTGTTGACTGCAGTTTATACTGAAATGAAATGTCATCTCATAGCATGGATTTTCCATATCAAAAGATACCAAGCATTTGAAATCCCAAAGCAGGGACAGTTTTTGCATCACTTTCAAAGATATTCACTAAAACTTATACATGTTATATATAGATTATAGGTATTACTTTTCAAGCACAAATGTTAACAATTGTAAATACCTGAATTTTGTATCCCTTTATTCTAGGGTGACCATACTTTGTATGGAGATAGCCTATGGTCAAACATAGTTATCAAGTCATTGCCACCTGACCAGGATTTCTTTTTCTTGCTGTAGTGACAATTAGGTTTAATATTTTAGATGAGGTTTCTTTCTCACTGATTATATATATTTTGGAAGGTCTTTTTTTTTTGTAAGAATCATATGTCCGTTTGACATGTCTTTATGGCATTGACTTAATTTGTATGCTCTGGTGGTAAGGTTAATTTTTGATTACCGGTATGTCATCAGAATCTGTGAATGACATGACATGTCAACAATATTTTTGATTCTTGGTAAAAAAAAAAAAAAAAAAATAAAACTTTATGAATTTTAAGGCGCTTTTCTAGATTAAAAACTTCATCATGAATGCTCAAAGCCAAATATTTGAAAGCCAAGGATGTATAAATATCAAAACACCTGAAAAGCTATATGATCAAAAGGGACCTTATAATAATAGTCAAATCTATATAAGGTCAACTTTGCCAGAAAGAGTTGGAACTTTAGTTTCTTAATAATTTCTTAATTTAAACAAGAGTGCACATGCTAAATTGTCTCGCCTGCTTTACTGACCATTGATTTTATGTTGATAGTCCTAAATATAAAGTTTTACTACAAGTATCGCATAAACTTAACATGATGCAAGAAAATGAGGTCATTGACCAATGAACAATGAAAATGAGATCAAGGTCAGATGACACCTGCTAGACAAACATATAAACCTTACAATAAACCCGTACAACAAACACACTTGACCTATTGCTTATAGTTTAAGAAAAACAGACCAAAACACAGAAACTTAACATTGACCAATGAACTGTGAAAATGAGGTCACGGTCAAATAAAACCTGCCAGACTGAAGTGTACATCATTAAATATTTCCATACACCAAATATAGTTGACAATTGCATAAAGTATTAGAAAAAGAGACAGAAACACAAAAACTCAACTTTAACCTCTAAACCATGAAATGAGGTCAAGGTCAGATGACACCTGCGAGTTGGACATGTACACCTTAAAATCATCCATACATCAACTATAGTAGACCTATTGCTTACAGTATCTGAGATATGGACTTGACCACGAAAACTGAACCTTGTTTACTGATCCATGAAATGAGGTTGAGGTCAAGTGAAACTATCTGAAAGACATGAGGACCTTGCAAGGTACGCACATACCAAATATAGTTATCCTATTACTCATAATAAGAGAAAAATTAACATTACAAAAAATCGTAACTTTTTAAGTACCGTAGTCCCTGAACCATGAAAATGAGGTCAAGGGCAATGGACATATAACAGACGGAAACTTCATAACACAAGGCATCTATATACAAAGTATGAAGCATCCAGGCCTTCTACCTTCTAAAATATGAAGCTTTAAAGTAGTTAATTAATGCCGCTGCCCCCAGATCACTATCTCTATGTCTCGCTTTCTGTGACAGTAGTCGCAGGCTCGACAAAAACAGCTAATTTAAGAAAGGTATGTTATACATCATGCCAGTACTGAAGCCCTGTCTACTGAGCTGGCAAGTACATTCTGCCATTATACAGCATAAAGGCTTGACCTCATTCCATTAGTTAGTTTAAATAAAAATACTGGTATGCTGTACATGTATTTGTAGAAATTAGTAGTATATGTCAACCTAACATGTGCCACAGCTCAATATCATTGTGTTTACACTCCCAATTATCAGGCTATGCTTAAATAATTAAGGTTTCTCCGTGACTGCATGACATCAATATTAACTTGCACATTTTATGCATCCCATATAAATTATTTGCCCATGTCATATATTTCTAGTCAATATATTTAACTAATATCTTGATGTGTCCTGTGGTTGTGTTAATGTTTGTAATTTGTCTTTATTTTTTTCAAAATGAGATTATCTGGGAAATTATGACAGTTATCAGGGATCTACACCATGCACACTATCTGTTGCCCAGCTGCCAAAGGCACTAGTAATATAATCAGTTGAAATAAAAATGTCCATCTGTTCATGACAACTAAACAAGAAAAACATGTTGATGTATATGCAAGAAGTCAGAGAGCCAAAATCATCCTTTGCAAAATCACCTCTACTGACGTGATTGACGGTTCAATCAATTAGTATTTTTGAAGATCTAAGATCAATAATCGAAATCCCAGCTTAATTTTTTCATCTTTTATAGTTTTCATAAAAATAATTAGCAAAACAGCTAAAATTGGTCACAAATCTTCACCAAAGGGCAATAACTCCTTTAAGAAGTCAGTTGATGTCTTTAACCATAAAATATTTGAGCAGATTTTATATTGATCATTAAATGCTGTTAACAGTTTCTGTCTATCTGGTATAGTTTTCAAGATAATTGGATTTTTCTTTAAATTAGTTAAAAATTTTCAAATAAGCACAATAACAAAAGGATAAAACCTACAAAACTAATAGTATCTTGAAATAAGTAAATTCAATTATCTCCCCTTTAACATGTTTGACCATCCTGTATGCAAATCCTCAGGTAGTGTTTTACAACTGTGTAAAGTTTCATCAATATCAGTATAATTGTTAAGAAGGAGTTATGCTTACAAGGCACATGGACAGACAGACAAAAGGGATGATTTTTCGTTCCCTATTGTTAATATTCCTTTATTGGACAGGGATATTCCTTTGGCCCCCACCTTAAGGTGTTTATATATCCCAAATCATTCCCTATGCCCATGTTTATAGTGACATTTTGGATTTCAATAAAAGGTAATCTATGATTTAAATTATTGAGTCAAGGATTTCATTACCACAAATTACTTAAAACCTTTACTAAATTCATTCATAGATACAGATATTTTAGATTTAAGTATGGTTGTACCTGTAGAAAACTTATTACAAACAGAATAGCATATCCTAATTTTTACGTTGATGTTGTTAACCTAGCCTGTAAATTTAGATACAATCCGGGTAAACTTATCAATCCTTTAAATAAACTTATTCTAAAAGATTACCAATTCAACACTGTAATTAGATCTTTTTATCGGTACATATATTGATTTTGTTATCAATAAATTAAAAACCCAACTATATATTATTGTTATACACATATGTAAATTAACGGTCCTACAATCTGTCGATACCTATAATTTGGCATTGCACAAGGTCATGTTACTCTCCGACTGTTAATGACTTCTTTACACTAAATCCATTGGCTATTGGATATGTGCTGATGGATATTTTAGTCTTAGCAGGGGCAGATCCAGTCATTTTCAAAAGGGGGGGGGGGTTCCAACCATATGTCCCCATTCAAAAGCATAGATCGTAATTTATTTCAATTCAATGATCGGAAAGTATTTCCCAAAATCCCATTTTATAATATAGCACTTGCACATACAGCAGCCTTTTAACTGTTAAAAAATTGAAAACTTAAATGTATATCACTATATGTAGCTTTTACAGTTATCGCTTGGCAGTAAAGGAAATAGAACTATATTTCAGAATTTATTTGTTACCGTTGACAGGCCAATTCCCGATTTTTATGCTTTCCCTGCACTAGTTGGTTAATCACTAATTTTTTCACTACAGACACAGAGTTGTGACAAAATGACTTAAAAATAAAATGAGTAATATTTAAAGTCAAATGATAATGTATATGTATATATCTTACAGATATGTTCTGCCATTAAAAACTGTATTTCAAACTAGCATGCGTTTACAAGATACATTAAAAATAAATGAAGAATGTGTCCATGGAACAGAGATCTACCCCACTTGTAAGAGTCAATGTACTTATTCAAACCTATTGACATTCAGTTTTCTTTGAAACTTAATGACATTTGTTTCTGTATGTTGAGAGTGCTAAACAGCAAATTTGCAATTTCCCATTTATAAAGGGACATAACTTGATAACGGTGAAATTGATAACCAAAATTCTTGATCTGTGTTTTGTGGTAATAAGCATTGTGTACAAGTTTCCTAACAATTGGTTAAGGCAAACTAAAGTAAGAGAAGGGGAAAGCAATTT